TTCAATCACATCTTCCAGAGGATCTAATATTATCCGGAGCTTCATCTAACAGCTATTTGAGAGTGAAGATATGATCAACTATCCATGCTTAAAGTCCGTCTGGATTTTTTGCTTTTTGATCTGGGGCTTCACTTAGGCGTCCAATAGTTATAGATACTAGAATCTCAGGCACTGCACTAATTAAAGTGATTTCCTTGAAGTTATCATCAGATTTTGCTCATTTCTTGTGAACTAGAGTAATTGATTTTTCAGATAAGTCTAGCGGAACTACCTCTGATTCTCATAATTTAGCTGGTACCTCAGTTACTTTAACCAGTAGTTCATGACAGCTATTATGAAAGACTTTGTTTAAGGTCTGAAACAGACTTTGAAACTTAAATGACTTAAAGGAGTGATTTTAAAATTTCGTTCAGGTAAGGGGTAGATAATGGGAAGACGAAGCATAGATTAAGCAAGGTGATTTATTTATTATAATATTGAATCCATTATTCATAGGGTTATCAAAAACCCATTTCTTCTAAAGGTTGTTTCACTTAGGATTATGATTTTCAGTCAAGTGTTTGATCACTGTTGCGGCACTCAACTGATTGTATCCCGATCCCACACCAGAAACTGAACTATTTTAAGACAAATGGCAGTACATGCATTCTTTTATGCAAAATATGCTTCCACTTCTTGCCCTAAGTTTTTTCTGGTTCATTACCATTGGTAAATTTACCAATCATATCAACTTGCTCCATGTGCTGAATTGGTTTTTCGTAGGTATTGCCTTTGCTCTAAAGAAAGACTACGGGAAACTTTAGAGATCAGTTTACAGAGACCGATATTGACTTAACAGTTTGGAATTATTTACAACCAGGTAACCTGAAGGTAAATAATGATTTATTTTTATTTTTTAGATCCGAAAATTCAAAAGGCATGCCATAGTATTAAGTCGAAGTTCTCCGAATAAATCTTCCAGAGAATCAGTCAGTTAGTATCAGAGTGAGACCTGACATTATTGCGTAACAATCCAAAGTCGCCACAGCTCGCATCAACACATCGAATTAGAAGATACTACGATGGAACATGCAGAAATAAAGTAACCAAAAGTCGTAAGAGATAGACGGATGAGAAAAAATCAAACAATAATTATATTCGGAAGGACGATTAAGCTGAAGATAATGTGGATGCATCTGGGCCACTAAGATCGATTTCGAGCTAGACCATCTAGTCTCCAAACACCGACTTTGATTGGTACATGGAATTCAGATGTGAAAAAGGGGGTTTCATAAACACGTCTATGGCACAGTTAAATAAGAATTAAAAGAAGGAATATCATTGACGGACATCATTCGACGTTTACAACCCACTCGATACTTACTACATCATAGAATCTAAAGCGCCCATAGGTTTTCGCATACGAAAACCTTTAATGTCAGTGAGAGATACTGTCGATCGATGGAGTCAAATACCACCTTCACACCAAGAAATACAACTGATGTCGGACACTGATAAGTGTGTCTGTGTTCTAATAACTCATGTAGGGAAAATATCTTATCAATACACTGAAGAGAAGCTTTGAAACCTTGTTGCTTTTCACGGGATTGCTGTTCGCAAGCTTCACTCAGGCATCTAATGACTTTAGAGAATGGATCTTTGAAACTATGTTCATCAGACTGATTCCCCTGAGGTTATCAAAGGACTTCTCTCCTTTCTTGAAGACCCGAACAAAGTGATCAAGATTAGTTTAAGCGAATTATATGTCGTTTCTATACACTAGCTAACACTTCATTTATTCTAACAAATAAGTCTCGACTACTGTCATTAAGTGGCTGTAGTAACAGCGTTTCAACGCCTGGTACTCTTCGTTGTTTTAGGCTACTTATGATACAGTTAGAGGGCCTAATTCAGTGTTCCAATCAGGATGCGACTGGATATAAGGGATCGGAATGGGGACAAATTGAAGTAGGTATTGACTAGAATGATAACTAAAAAACCAATGAAACATCAATCAGATCTAGCAACTCAAAAGGTCTTAGTTCTGAATTCGACATAAAGAAAATAAAGCTGTTCTATTGATACACTACAAAAAAATCTACATAAGCGTGCAGATCTCCCATTCTGTCATTTTAGGCTAGTATCCTTTAGTTGATAGGTAACTCTAAAATAACTGTTTGGTGACGTATCGCTTGTGGTTACTTTACGTCTACATTTTATCAGATTATTATAGTAGTTGTCTATGAAAATGGTTCGTTGGAAACGCATAAATGAAATACTTTTAGAACTACTCTAAGAGTTCGGACGATTCAAGTAATAGAAAATTATTAGCAAAAGTCAATCAACTACATATCGTTCAGGTTCTAGGAATACACAATTCGAACGTCAATATGTATTCCAAAACATTTCACATTATTTCATTCACGAACTCAAGGCTATTCATACTATTCGAAGTTCATGATTATTTATATTCATGAATGTTTTGGTGACACTATTCAACTTGTGGACTCAGATTCAAAAAAATTTGTTTCTATCGCATGACCTGTCATTCGTTTTCTACTCTAAACTTTACATCTTCGTGTTTTTCAACACATTTTTACCTGACTTTTCAAACAGATGTACAATGCAATAGTAATGTTAAGCATGGCATGATCGAGTACCGGTTCAATTTATGACGCTTCACACCAATACATGAAGTAGGAAGTTAATGAGACAAGATGATAAAGCGGGAGCGATGAACACAATCTTTAATGGTTTTAAGATAATAAAAATAGTAACAAAAAAGGATGAAGGCATACAATCTTCACAGAAAGCCTTATTAATTTCGGTTGTTCACTATGATTCAACTACTAGTAAACTATATGCGTTAAATTAGACTGACTGATTGACAAACAGACAGACAGAATCAATGTAGAGGCTTGCATAAAGCCCATCAGTCCATTTTGTCATACTTCACAGAAAAATCTAAGAAACAAATGTCTTGGGAAAGAGTGATGTCAAGGTAGAGAAGTGCATAGGAGGTGAAAGGGTTTGAAAATCAACGTTAGTGAATATATTCTAAGTTTTCGAAGACGTAAAAAAGTGAATACATATGCACCATTGTGACCGATTTTTAGCCATGACACTATTGATTAAATTAATGGTTAGACGTCGGTCTGATTAACCCTATCTGTCTTTCAACCTCATTCAACTTATATTAGCACATCGTGTTGGGGTAGATGATAGCATCTTGTGCACAATGTGTATCAAAAATACATTATGATAAAATTTAACTATTTTATCAAGTTATTTATCTCATTTAATCAATGTTAGATAACTAACTTTTAAATTGCTTGCACGTCGACTACACTGTACACTTGTGATGATCGGAAGACATTTAGCCATCATGCAACTACAACAATGATTGACGAATTATCAGTATTGATTAGAGTGCTCAGTCTGCTGCTTATTAACATCTTCACCTAGAAGTATTAAGATGTTTGCATTTTTCTGGGCCAATTTGAAATTTCCATAGAAATGTAACTCACAATTACATCTATGATAAACGTTAAACAATCCTGACGGACACCCCTCGACGTAATCACCGGAGAGGATAGGTTATCATTATAGGCTTTAACATGACAATGAGTACATGAATAAAAAGTTCCCACTGAGACAGACTACAACAAGACTCTTCTCACGACGAAATTAACATCCTCTGTAGGTCAAAAAGTGATCCGAAAGTATCAGTGTGCGCCAAACCCAATCAAAATATATACAGTCATGTCTGAAATCCACCTGATTCTTCAGGTTTTTTGTAGCTGTAAGAATAAAATATCCCCTTGACTGACTTCTATTTATTGTCAGATGGATCCATTCGTGACTACATTTTGCAAATTCTTATCGGGGTCCTCACAATGAACAGAATTTTAGTGATATCCCTGCACGCCACACGCATAATTTATCAACAACTAAGGAATGAACATGACCATATATTCCCCTAGCAACCAGCAACAGATTAGCGGTAAATACGGTGCAAGTGGTTGAAACAAAATGATCATTGATTGAAAAAGACCAAAACTAAAAGAGCAGGATACTTTCCAAACAAAACTGACGAAACTAAGAACATTCATTTCTGTATATTTCAAGTCCTGAAAACGAGGTTCAACAAAATTCATCAAAATTCTACCATCTTTTTCACAGGTAGTGAGTGAAAAATGATTGGTGGTACAGATTATACAAACACTAAAAACAAAGGTAATAACCAAAACATCACTGAGAGAGTGGGAAACCTGTCACATAAAACGGCATCAGAAACCGTACGCATATTTTCACGGATGCTGAGAATAAACTTAAATGTAAACATTGTCGAGTGAAGGATTCTTATGACCTCGGACGACAGAATAATCTAGCTTATCAAGCTTGATACAATGACTGACAGTTATGACAAATAGATCAGAGCAGATAACCGCGCTCACTCGTTTTATCAGAACATAGAAATATAAAATCTAGAGTGATAGACTCTAGCAAAATAAAAAGTCTACAAACATCTGTAATTGTCCTGCAAACATAAAACAGAGTATAACAAAATGACATTCTTGAATTGCTACTTTGGTAAGATGGGAGGATACAATAATCACCAATTCTTTGTTCTTGTGTTGTTGTAAAGTGTAGCAATCTAAGTGGAAACACCATCTATGCAACGTTTTACTTGGTTATCTCTGTCTATCAGCTAACATAAGCATATTGACGAATTCAGCACCTATTTTACGTATCAGAACGGTTTTACTCCAGTTAAAACAGGAACGAAACTCTAAAAGTCGACTGTCAAATCGATGTACTTACATCAATATAGCTATATATATTGAAATGTGACAGCAGCAGCATCTAAAAATAATACTAGTCATTTTTTACGTTTTGCGACGTAAAACATGTAACCACTTGAAAAGTAATTATCAACAGATATCACGTCTGACTTACTTAATTACCGTAAGCGCGAAAATGATATGATTTTTGAAAAAAAACACTGTACATAAACTTACTTTCACATCCACATATGAATTAGGGCGCAACGAGCGAGTTTTATGCCCTGATGACACATCCATCCAAGACCGAGAGCCATATATGAAGGTGACCGGGACAGTAGGATCAAGTTGGTCAATTCGATCTAACATAGGACGTTGGGGCCATCCAACAGAGCTGCACAACGACTTAAATCCTGCTTCCCCACTACAATAACCGTATAAATAATAATAATAAATAATAATGATAATGAAATGTAGTAGATGTACTACTAAAAGATAACTGTATTTAATACGAGTTTGGTAAAAGACATATGATGGGTTGTCGAAAATATGAACTGAATAAAATAAAACAGTATTAAGGCTGTCATACGATTATTAAAGCGCTTGGCTATATACCACAATTTTCAATCAGATGACATGTAGTTCATTGGTTTGTGTACTTGTGTTGCGATCAATAGATGAGAAACCACGACTTGAGCAGAGAGCCAGACATTTAATTGGTGTGGACAATAACCTAGTTCACCTACCTGCACAGCAGTTGACAGTTAAGTAGCACCGCCAGCTACAAACAATGGGTAAATCTGTGTACATTGTAGCATCCAACATGAAGATTTAATAAAAGCACTTGTACCTAGCGCGATAACAAATAAAGTGACTGGACAAGTATATACGCGACAAAATGAACATGAAAGGAACAATAATTGACATGGTACTAAAAAAATAAGTAATGAGATCAAGAACCTCTAAACAAGTAGCTCAAAGAATGGGATATTGTTCGTTTTCGACGTCACTATTACAAACAACGAAATCGATACCGTTTTTCTTAGGGCAGCGTGACCGATAAAACGCATCCTAGAAAAAGGGTCTTTCTGAATTTTGATCAATATTAAAATCTGAGCAAAACAATCAACAACTAAATTCTAAAAACACCACGAAACTTACTATCTTTGTGGATAAAATGTGATGGATTAGTTGGTGGCTCTAATCTATAACATCTAACTGTAGCTATACAGCTCAAGAACGTTTATTGGAGGTGATTTGCATATAATAGTCATTAGTTCTCTATTCTTTCTGTAAAAGCAACAGTCCCATTTATACAATATTTTCGCTGTTTTCTGATAACTCTTTTAACATTTTGTATTATATGTACTATTTCAGTGTTTCGTTTAAATGTGACTAGCACAAATATCTTGTGATTAGATCATTCATAATTTCATTGGAGACGCCATACACAAAAGCTACAATGTATGCAATAAATGCGGCAACATTACCCTTTAGATTATTTAGATGTATATTCTTATTAGTAATTTTTCAAGTCCCACCAAAAAATTAAATCTCGTGAAATTACTTTCAACTTCATCCTTTTATGAAGGTGCATACATTAATTGTGATATATACATATGCGCTGTTACGAGAAAAACAGTACTAACAAAGATATCACTTGGTTTAAAGATATCGGAGCAAATAAAACCCTAATAATAGAATATGCTCCACTTTAGACTGAGTGGAATATATATATATATATATATATATATATATATATATATATATATATTCTAACGAGCAGTGCTTAACGTTTGTTAAAGAGTGACCATAGCTAATCACTTTCACTATCCGAGATAGCCGGAGTTAGGCAGACTTAGATTGATACTGAATGATGATTGAAAATGAAATTAAAATCTGGACCGCGGCGGGATTCGAACCAGCTATTGTTGGGGAAAATTAAAAACAATTTAAGAACAATAAAGAATTTAAAATAAAATGGAGGTGGGACCGTAGTCGGCGTTGCTGATAAGAATGGATATAAGTAGTATGTGTTGAGAGGGTGGTAGGAATCATAGGGAATTACCAGCAATGGGTAAGGATTCTGCCAAGAGCAACACAAGGGAAAGCGCCAGCGTATTACACTGGATGCTGCTGATAAGAATGTATGAAGAGCAAATCAAGAGAGCAACAGAAGAGAAAGCGAAGCTTACTTTGCAAATGATGGGTTTAGTGCAAGGTGTACCATGTGTAACGACTACCGTTCCAAGCATATGACAGCGTGGAACGTGTGGTGAGAAAGAGACTTCGTGAAGAATGGTTGAACGCCTGGAGGCGGAGTTTGACAGCCCAGCGGACAGGGAGCTGGTGATACAGCAGTTCCGGAGCACGAAACTGGGAATAGACGAAGATCCGCTGGTTTTGGCTGTGAAGTTGACCAAACTACTTCGACGAGCACTTCCCACCTTGGATGACGACTCCCAAGAACATTTGCTGGCTGCACAGTTCTCCGAAAGTGTCCCGAGTGCCATCGCCCAGCAGTTACAACTCGTGAATGCAGCCCAACCCATGGACAAAAGTGAGACGGCCAAGGTGACCAGACAATTAATGGGTACTGTAGTGGAGTCACCAGGGGTATATAACTGGCAAGAACAAATCAACAACCTACAAGAAGAGGTAGCTGCACTTCGAATGAACATCAAAAGACAAGGTAAATGCTTTGTATATGGAAAATCTGAACACTGGCGAAGAAAATGTCCGGAGAGGCGAAAAAGAAAACGTTTTGAACGACATAATATGAGTTCTGTTTTTCCAACTGGACTAGATATTGTAGGAGCCATAGATCGAGGCGCGGTGTATGCTAGAATGCGAATAAACGATCGGCAGATCGTGTGGCTCGTAGATATAGGGGCGGCAGTCTCGCTAATAGATAAGAGGCAGTCTCAGAACACAAGACCATGTGCACCACGCAGGAAAACAGCGAGGTCCACAGGGTTGGGGGACATGCACTAGACATCGCAGGCTTATCAGATTGCGTAGTTGAGATCGAAAGCCGGAAAATTCGATTCCCATTTATTGTGACCACGTGTCTACAACGGCCAATCCTAGGTGCTTATTTTGTGAGAGAAGTGGGTGCCGTTGTTAACACGAAAACAGGAATGGTGGCGACGAAGTACGGGTCGTTCACCACGCAGGAAAACAGCGAGGTAGCAGAGATTGGGGTGAGGTATCAAAAGCACCACACCCCCGGAAGCGCCAAACATCACGGATACTGTGACAAGGTTCAGTATCAAATCCCAGTGACAAGTCAAGCAATGACAACATTTATAACACGGCGAATACCATGTCATTTGGAAGGAGGAATTGGGCACCAGGTTCAAGAAATGCCAAACGAAGGTAGTATTGTAGAGGCTAATAACCCATACAGTTTGTTAGTGCTTTTAGTAAGAAAGTCAAATGGGAAATATAGATTCTGCGTTGATTTCCGAGAGTTAAATAGCATAACGCAACTGAAACCGTGTGCCGCCATACCGACGGTAGATGAAACACTAGATCGTTTGCAGAATGGAAAAGTATTTACAGTTCTGGACCTCCTCTCAGGCTACTGATAACTACAAATGAAAGAAGGCGATAAAAAGAAAACAGTATTTATTGTGGGTAAGAAGCAATACCAATTCAAATGAATGCCATTTGGTCTGGCAGGTGCGCCATTTACATTTAGACGGTTGGTGATGTTGTTGCTGAAGAATTTAGAGAACGTAGAGATGTACGATGGTGACCTGGTGGTGTACAGTCAGATGGAGGCAGAACCTCCTGAACACCTAGAAGCTGTTTTAAGACGCATTGACGAGTTTGGACTTCGCATCAATAAGACAAAATCTCAGATAGCCAAGAAGATTGTTACATTGCTAGGACATTAAGTTGGAAACGGTGAAATAAAACCACTACCTGAGAAAATCCTGATGGTCAGAACTATTCCAGTACCGAATTCCAAGAGGAAACTGTGACATTTCATGGGTAGAGCAGCATCCTACAATCGGTTCCTCAAAAAGTTCAATGAGGTAGCAGCACCTTTATATAAGCTACTTGACAACCCCAAATTTGTGTGGATGAAGGAGGCACAGAAAACGTTTGATCACATCAAAGAACTCCTAAATGACCAGGAGATGACGTTCAAACTACCAATACCTGGGAGGCCATTTGTCGTGTCCACCGATGCAAGTGATTATGGAATAGGCGCAGTCCTGAGACAGACTGAAGGAGTAATGGAGTATGCCAGCCGTGTCCTAACACCTGTAGAACAGAAATATTCTGCAGTGGAAAAGGAATGTCTGGTGATAGTTTGGGAGCTTGAGAAATGGAGATTGTACCTTCTCGGTCAACGATTCCACATTAAAACGGATCATAAACCTCTACAGTGGCTGAAGACAGGGAGAGAGAAGTGATAAAAGGTATAACTGAAGGAACGGAGACACAAACATCTGTGGGAATTAAAGAGTGGAAAAAGTTGTTGGCGCAGAAAGAATGTCTACAGATGAATACTTATGGAATGCTGACTTGGCGAGAAAACGACGGGAGCTGGTTGGAAGTGATTCCGAAATGTCTACGCGACAAAATGATACAAGAATGCCACCAGTTAACTCATACAGGTGTCTCACGGACAGCTGACCTTCTCAGATAAAGTGCGTACTGGCCAGGTATGAGAGATGTTGCCAAACACGTGCTGGGTTGTCCGCATTGTCAACTGATGAAAGGTGATAGGTATGTACGACCGCCGCTTCAGTCGATTCCAGTGCAGGCAGTTAGTGACCTGTGGTCTGTGGACGTGGTGGGACCATTCCCGCAGACATCTAGTGGCAACCAATACCTGCTGGTAATGACGGAGCATGCTACACGATGGGTAGACGCTGTCGCGATTCCGCATCAACACGCGAAGACAGTGACCGCAGCAGTGAAGCCGCATATTGTTGCAGATCACGGTGTGACGAAAATGATACTGACCGACCAAGGTTCTTGTTTTGAAAGTGAAGAATTCAAATCCTGTTTGGAGCAGCTTGATATCAAGAGGATAAGAACGACGCCGTACCACCCACAGTCTAACGGTCTGACAGAAAGGAGTAGGCGTACACTTAAAGAGTGGCTGGTTTCGAAAGGAGGGAATTGGGAGACGGAACTGCCGTTAATATTATTAGCTCATCGTGCATCTATACAAGGAGCCAAGAAGTCGTCGTTCCAGTTAATGTATGGCAGGAAACCATGGCTCCCAATACATAGTAAGACCTGGCCCCAACAACAGCCACGGAACATGACTAGATTGAGAAATGAGCGGGAACAGACAATCAGAAATGTGGAACGAAAGCAGAAGGCTGATGCTGAAAAATCTGAGCAGAGAGAAGAAAAGGAAGGGAAACCATTTTAGGTCAGAGATCAGGTGAAATGTAAAGAATGAGGATATACGTCAGGAGGTGAATATGGCAGACGAAAACTATTCCCGAAGTGGGAAGGACCATACATCATTACCGAGAGACGCGGTTCAGTTTATACCATCAAGAAAGGGGACAAAGAGAAAAGAGTAAATGCAAGCCGACTTCAAAAAAGGAAGCGGTGGGAAAAGGACGAAACTTTGCATGAACACCAAGAGAAGACAGCACCAAGATGATCAACTTGGTTGTAAGCCTGAAATTGTGAGGGGGGACGAGTGTAGTGGGCGTTGCTGATAAGAATGGATATAAGTAGTATGTGTTGAGAGGGTGGTAGGAATCATAGGGAATTACCAGCAATGGGTAAGGATTCTGCCAAGAGCAACACAAGGGAAAGCGCCAGCGTATTACACTGGATGCTGCTGATAAGAATGTATGAAGAGCAAATCAAGAGAGCAACAGAAGAGAAAACGAAGCTTACTTTGCAAATGATGGGTTTAGTGCAAGGTGTACCATATGTAACGACTGACGTTTCAGATGTTGATAATAAACAGTCTTTCCATCTTGTCTGTCTTCTGTTTCTTCAATACAAGTCTAAAATAATCGTCTAAGTTCAACTCAACCCAATACAGATGTGTGTGTACGCGCTGAGTTACATTCATTGTGAGGGCATATGACACTACCAAGGTACCCAGGATGATACAGGTGGAAAGGGGTTTGAATTTGAGACCCATTTTTGAAAATCGAGTGCATCAGCCGATGAACCACAATTCCATTTCATCAAAATTTACAGGGGATACGATCGTGCGTAATAATAGCATTGAAAATACAGTTGAAAGGAGTGATGGGTAGGAGAATAATTTCAAATCGATGCTGCGTAGTATTTTCAGGCAGAGATTTTCTGTACCACTTGTCAACTGACTTTAGATGTTAAAAGTAAATCGACAGGAAGTTCTGGACCCAGCCTTCGTGCTTTCTATTACTCATCAGGAACGCGCACCTGCAACCATAAAGAAACTGGTGTTCAAACCTGTGTCACTTAGTGGCGAATAGGATACGTAGCTATTGGACGAAATGACGATGCTTGAGGTTGCTAGAAATAGCTTACGTTTGCAATAAAGCCACATGGCAGTTTGAAATTTTTTATTAATTTTACCGCCTCTGATACCACTTTTAAATATGCATGAGGTTACTCTTGGAATTGAAGATGAATGATAAAGAAATTATATCCTAGGAAATTTTTGACATACTTCACATGCATGCAGAGGCGAAAATCAATTGTCTACATGAACTACATCAATTAAGTTTCCGGAATGCTAGATAAGAAAGGTAGACCATATGGTCATATCACTGTTTCATTTTATTGTAATGACTTCCATAGTAATTGATCATACTTTGAAACCATGTGAACACAAAGAAAACGAATTTGAAGAACATCAAGATGTAAGCATTTTTGGGTCTACAAGGTTACCATAATATTGAGATCATACATAAAGGCTTATTACATCTGTAAGAAACAAGACTGAGACGCAGGAAGAAATGTTTGTCATTGAAATCTTGTACAGTAGTGATGAAATATTGTACACTTTCCACCAAAACAGTCATTTGCATAATGTGTTCCATTTCCTCTCCTGCTTCTATCTGGATTTGCTCTTAATATGCCCACCTTGTCTCTTGTGTTTTTCTGGGAAGAATCTTTATCCATTGCTGGTAACTGCCTATGATTTATGCCGCCCTCTCAACATAAACTACTTATACCCATTCTGATCAGCAGCACCCACTACATATTGATAAGAAACAGGATAATTTAGTATATCATACCTCAAAAAAAAACAAGTTTCGCATCTAAGACTAGAATTTTTCTAAACAGTGGAAATAAACAAGTCTGTCACAAACTGAAAGGATATCCAAGGTTAGGGAACTTGAAATACTGGAGATAGATCAAAGTAGAAAATATACTGTTTACAACACTACGAAGCAATCGATTCTAAATTAGTAGCGTAGCAAGCCAACGCTTTACTAACGCAACATTGCTCTCTTATTAGCTTACTGCAAAGCTTAAGGGAAACTATATTTTTAATTGAACTGTAGTATTCGTGGTTGGGTAGACTTATTTGACTGATACTGAGTGATGATTGAATGTGTAATGAAAGCCTCGAACTCAGACACTTGGTCGAATCCTAATATGACCCGGGTTTATATTCTAATCAGTTATCATCCAGTATAAAAAATCACATTTCTCCGTAGTCTATGTGAAAAAATGTAGCTACTAACATCATCATTTCATGTATTTGACTCTCAGTTAAACCTAGTGTGTGAAAATAAACATTTGTCTGTCTTCAACACTTTAGCACACAAAGTAAACTTCAAATCTTTAGTCACCCAGTAAGGGGGTGAATGCACAAATCACATGACTAGACTTTTGCCAAATTACATAGTACAAAAGCTGTTCCGAAAATAGATACACGAGTCTAAACTAGACGTCTGTACGATTTAGTTATAAATTCAGGACCTGACAGCGGATAGAGCAATCTATAGGTATCTATATAACCAACTGTTGGAAGAACAATGGGCGTCTCTGCTTTTACCTAAACCTACAGTTCCAAAATGCTAATTATAACTGCATGTAACTACCCATTCCTTAACAGTATACTCAATTGTAAACCAGAAAATATTTTGTAACCTAATTACGTAACAAGGCACAAGAGGTCTGACGGTAGATGCGACTGTGCTTGGTTGCGAAGTGAGCATAAAATGTCACAAGACGTTTACCTTGGATGCTGACAGTTGATGTGGTAAACGTAATCCAGTGCAACCGATCCATCTAGATCTTCAAAATCAATGGAAGCCAGTGAACCGGAAGTGGAGTTATCAGAAACGGTATCATTACCGCGGTCTGTTCTGCCAACCGGTGACGAAAATTCAGGTAAATTATCTTCGCCATCAGTTGACTGGGTGCGATCGTCAAAAGAAATGCTTTTCGTTGATTCAATATCTTCTTTTGCAGGTATTTCCAATATCTTGAGAATGAAAAGTCAGATATCAAGATATTAAAGTACAAATTATCGTCTGATTACTAGCTAGCAATCAGTTTACTACTTAAAACCAAAACAAACAAATAAAAAGTAGGCAACTAACACCTTGACATTTTTTTATCAAGAGATTCGGTAGAAAGTTACTCATTATCATCATCATCAACATCATCATCCACATCAACATAGAACCAGGCATTACTGCGTAACAGTCCGAGTTGCTACAGCTCATAACAGTACATCAAGTACAAAGGTAGTGAGGTGAAAGATGAGAATAAGAAAATTCAGTCAGAAGAAATATAAAGTACGACTAGAAAGAAAGGAAGAATGAGAAAGTGGTGAGAATCGGTATAGTGTTAAGATGAGGATAATGTGTGTATACATCTGGACCACTAACATCGGTTCTCAGCCATGTCACCACCTAGAGTCTTCAACCACTGGTTCCTCTTGTCCCGCGGACCCCAACCACCTAGTCTGCACTGCCCCACATGACTCAAACCAACAGTCAAACACTTCATGTATTGGTGCCATGTTTTAGTCTGGCCACCTAGGACCTTTTTCCATCCTAAGCCTACTTCGGCCAACATTGTGTGACGAGGCAATCGGTAACTAGGCATACGTAACACGTGTCCCAACCAACTCAGTCGATGAAGGCTCACAACCTTGTCAACCGACTTACCTCTTCTCCCTAAAACTCTACCCCTGACTTCTGCGTTACTCACCTGGTGACACCACGGAATACGGCCTATACTACGAAGGCAACGATGGTCAAACACCTGAAGCCAGTCTTCTCATGTCTTCCACTTTCAATGGCCATGTTTCACGGCCATACAGTAGAACAGACCGGACTGCTGTGCAGTACACGCGACCCCTAATAGACAATCGGATATCACAGCGGCACCACAGATGGCGTAAATTGGCAAAAGCCAACCGAGCCTTTTGTATCCGTCCAGAGATCTCATCGGCAACTGACCCACCAGAGCTGATTCTACTTCCCAGGTAAATAAAGTGGTCGACACACTCAACCACCTCACTCTCTATTGTTAGCCGTGACACCGACGAAGACCCATCCTAGAGCAAAAATTTGCATTTAGGTGATGAGGACAGCATTCCAAACATTCTCAAATTCCCACTCAAAGTGTTCACAAGACTCTGCATCTTGTCAGCGTCTTCACCTAACAAGACTATGTCATCTGCATATTCTAGGTCTGATGAAAATTCTCCTGTCATTAGGTCAACGTCTCTGTAATCAGATGACGAGAAGGAGGCCTCCATAAGAATCTCTATGATGAAATTGAATAAGAATGGAGATAGTGGGCATCCTTGACGGACACCACTCGATGAGCGTAGCTCCCTGGACATCTCACAATAGGCTCCAACATGCCCACAAGTGTTCGAGTAGAGAGCCTTCAATAAGGTGATGTACTTACTTGTCACATCTTTTAGTGAGAGACATCGCCATAAGACTTCTCGATCAACGGAGTCGAATGCCGCCTTTAGGTCGAGAAATACAGATGTTGTCGGGTGTCGGTAAAGTTTATTTAGACATCACTTGATATTTCGGCAAACTATCTCACAATTTTCAAATATTGCTCAAAATAGCACTTGAAATGAAATCTTCCTTTGTCAGTCCAATTTCTCATTCAGCGCAGAGAGAGAGAGAGATGCTTTTATCTATTTATGCTGTTACCTAAAATCACCACTGAATTCATCACATTAAACTTGAAAATTGTGGCTAGTCAGTCTGTGCAGCTGAGTTCAAACCCGTGTTCCCACTAAGGTTTTCAGCGGCTGGAAAGCATAGCAAAAAGTGTGGTCTATTGTTCAATGAACAGGTATGTATGTAGTTGCTGTTAAATTGCCTGCTAAAATCGAATACGAAAGATGCGACGTCCCAACTGTTTTATAATTTACAAGTAGCTTGTTAGGGAGGTGGCCTTTTCGAAGACAGTAACGGATTATATATATATATATATATATCCATAAATTAAGATAGTATTTTATTAATAACAAGGATACTACAATTTGCTTTACGTGAAACACCGAATAATGACTCCTTTTCGGAAAATCCAACCAGGCTGGGACGCACTGTTAGAGTCAAATGAATGCACTTGTGTGTAAACAAAACTCTTTAAACCTACCGAAAGCTTATGAAATTTATTCATGGCTTCCTCTTTGTAAGTTAGGCGCAGTGTTACATATGTCGAATAATGCGGGGAAAAAATGCAGTGAAATCGTAGGAATTTATAAGCCCGGGAAGTAGTACGTCATAACATTGTAAATTTTATGTTTGCCCTAATCATTTGAACGGACAAAGGTGAGTCAACCGGATCCCAAGTAAGTATCTAAAGAATTAATTAGTTGATATGACGCAGTAAGAAATCTCTAAGAATATTTTACCAAAAATACTTCTCACCTCTCCGGCTCGAATCGGTCTTTGATCGAAAAATCCTCTCAGGTCTTGACGAAAATGATGAATCAAGCTAGGGCCAAAAGGTCCGGCTGCACGAAGAAACGACAAAGGGTTGAAGGGACAAAATATATGGCGAATAGTTGAAAACATCCATGCTTGAGCTGCACCAACATTTGACTGATCTTTAACTTTGAGGGGATCTTCAACAAAACCCCAGGGATCTGCTAGAATCAAATGCGCAATCCTGTGTAGAAGAAATAAAAGCTAATGCTTTCACTGTCAAATCAGTTGTGTTGTAGTATTTCATTTTTGAAAAGTAACTTTATGCAGACATTTAAACAATAGCAACCACTAACCAAGAATTTACAGCAACAGCGTACCTTTCCATTTGTAAAAAATGCGGAAAAGAACGACAATGCATAAAATATCGAAATCAACGAGAAAGCAAAAGTAACAAGTAAGTGTGGAATAACATTTCAGACCTAAGTATCAAATCTATTCAAACATGTACTTCTGTTGTTTCATTAACCTCAGTAAAAAAACTTTTTCCACAAATATCAAACCAGGGAAAACAGCAACTTTATGGATAAGTATTTTTGCTTAGTCACCCATCCCACTGACACGATGAGTGGACATTAGCAACAGATGCTCCGAGTTATAATTGCAATTACTAATCGAACTTGTGCACCAAAATCTTATGTGCAAGTTAAACGGTCCTTAGTTGTCACCACAACGTGCGGATGATGTTTAAAATACACTAATAACTGAACACTCGTAATCTTATTTTCTTTATGCTGAATGGCAACGCATAAGCCAAACAGTGGTGTCCAACCACAATACCGTAGACATCTTGCAAGAACCCCAAACAGCCCAAATCGAAAGATATCAGGATAGTACTGTATATTTATACTAGAAGTTATCAGACATCAACCTACCTGACCCAATACTGATACCTAAGTAAGTGAAGTGGTTTCGTTCGAGTATCCTAGCACAGATTACACATATGACCAGGCCACTTTTGAAGTTTTAGCTGAAACCTAGTAAGTGCAAAGGCTTATCGAAAAGTAAGGTGTTTGGTTTTTGCATCTCCCCGGATAATTCAAAATTCACTCTGAATAAGCGGCAGGATTTGATAATTTACCACCAATTGTTCAGGAAGAGGTTGAAAAATTATTGAGTAGGGTATCTGAGGTACTGGGAAGCATGTGAGTCAGGGGTAGCCTCGTTAGGCTAGTCTACCTCATCAACCATTCTAATCTACAAAAAATAGAGAAGTATCCATGCGGCAACCACAGGCGAATCAGTTGAACCAACACCGTTTTCAAGACCCTAGGGACCATAGTTACCCGCCGCCTAATCAGGGGTCGGAAAAACTAAATAAATTTCAGACGTAGACGAGGGTGCATCGATCCAATCTACGCTACGGAACACAGACACCAACTTGTGCACATTCCTTGACCCGAAGATGCTACTTGAATCTTAACTTGCTCAACGGTTGTATTTGACCCAGTCGACTGAGATGTGTTATGGCAGGGTCTGACTATGAAGGGGTATATTAAGTGGACTAAAGCTCTCTACCCGAACTCATACAGACATGTAAGGGTTAACAGAGAGTCGTCATCTGAATCGATAGCAACCAGTGGTGTTAGCCAGTGATGTACCCTGTTCACGTTCATGTTCAACTTTCTTATACATGCATTAATGAACACCTTAGGAACCTCTAACTTTGCGGGGACTGACCTACTCCCTGGAGTACGCAAACGCATTGCCCCGTTAAGCAAAATGCTGACAACTCTTCTGAACGCCTTGAGCAGAGATCTGAGTATCTCTGGCGTGCGTTTCAGACGTGTCACATGTAAAAGTAATGCTCCAACACTGGGTCTGCAAATACTCCCAGTTTAAAGATGGGGGGTGAAGTGGAGTGAGTCGACCACTTCGCTTACCTGGAGAGTTGCATCAACCCAAACGGACAGCTAACTGAAGAAATCTCAGCTGGGATGCAGAAAACCCACTTAGCCAATTTGAGTTACCTCTGGTGCCAGTAAGATATTCGACTACTTATTAAAGGACCAGTACATATATATGTCGTGAAAATATTCTACATGTAGAAATATACATGGCAGCATTGACTCCCATTACGCTATCGCTGAAGTGCAGACGATAACAGATCACGAAAGCTGAGATGCTAGACATGATTTAACTCATTTTGAGAGCAATACCTCTCCAAGCTACCACTGCATTTTAAAAATGAACTGCACTCTGAAGTTAAACAATTTAATTCCAGGGACTTCCAACTACGTTGAAATGAAAAGCTAAGAAAAAGCGTAAGTTTCTCAATACAAGTACTAAAATTAGTAACAACTATGCGCTTATATAGCACTATGCAAACCATCGGTACACGCATAGACGTGTGACTGTTTTCTCTGATAGACAAAAATATGGGCCACTACAGGAGGACCTTGAATTGGCTAATTGAGTTACCACGTGACTGTGCGGTCGTTGAGCGAAGATTCGAAATATTTAAAGTTTCACTGGTTATAGAACAGGCTTATGTACAATAAAGGTGATGATAATTCCGACTGCATGGAAAAGACTAATTTCTCATAATACCGTCTCATGCAATTTTCGAATTGAGGGATGCCATGTGTATGCCCTTCACACAGAAGGAAAAACTACAGACAATTTCCCACTGTAGTAAGCTCTAGTATTACGTTGCACACCCTGAAACCTAGTTAAAACCCCTTATTTTATAACTACCTAAACCGTACTATTTTGTTCCAAGTAACTCTACATTACTTTTTAAGTCATAGAGCTGCAAACAAACAGCAAGTAGAACGTCTTCTCAGCAATGCGGTTGAAGAGGTTTTATTAGTTTTTTTCCAAGCTTTGTGATTCAGTTTTCAAGTTCTGCAAAACTTCAATGTCCAATGGACCTGATACCTTCCCGAAAATCTCCAACATTAATTCTCAAATAATTCTACAGTTCGTACGAGGAACTTAGATGCGATAGCGAACCAACTTAAGGCTTGTTTATATCCATATCAAAGTTCAGGTGGTACAACTGTTTGAAGTCACATGGGTGAATATCGCTGTCGCACATGATTTAACTTGGGGTGAAAAAAAAACAGTCTGAAACAGATATGCCCCTCAACATCATGAAAAAACTATACTTACCATACTTCGAAAAAAGGAAGGAAATGATTGCTTTCTTATTTGCGCATCCAATATGACTAGCTGGCCACTCAAGGGAGGCAGGATTCTATAGTTCCACAAAAATATCCCAGCTTCGAAAAATCTGATTGGTGTGACATATCGATGAGTGAAAATAACTACTGAGCACAACAAAACCCAACATGAAATACAAATGAGCCAGTAAAACTATAGTGTTAAGCATTGTAAATGACTACTTTGAAAATAGTATCCCATGAGGGAATGTAAGAATGTAAGTTTGGTGACATTTGGATTATGACTTACCTATGGGGGTATGCTAAAGCATAGGAGCAGGCTAAAAATCCACCTAGACTATGACCAAGTAATATAAACTTTTCGACGTTTAACGATGATCTCCAGTCTTCAATAGAATCTACCCAATTTTCTTCAACTGCGACAGCGTCCGTTGGGAAATCAGGACGAGAACTTCGTCCAAAGCCCAAAACATCTAGTGAGTACACAGTGCGGTATTGTGCGAAAGCGTCAACATTTTTACACCAAAGAGCAGAACCGGAACCGAATCCATGGATTAGCACGATAGGAACAGCTCTATTTGTATCTGGTATGCTTTCAGATGATTCCGGACTGCATTTAAGCCTTCGGCATACAAACGTGCGAATGTAACATGATCCGTTGAAAATTGGAACAAAGAACGCCTCGACACTGCTTTTAATTCCTAAATGTTAACATAAAGTTATAATTGGTTTATGAAACTACGTGATATTAACTTTTTCTCAGCTTCTTTTAGGTGTCTGTTTGATGTACGACTCCATCTCAACCAGAAAGGGTACCTACTTTCTTTGCTATCCACATCTCTGAGATGAATAATCAAAATGGGTATTTACAACATACATGTCCTCAATATTACAAGAGACCGCCATTTACACCGAATCCAATACCCACCAAGAATAACCTAGAGTAACTGAAGAGTATAAACAACAAACTGTTTTCGTATTGTAGTGCGAAATCTAAGCACTAAAGCAATAAAATTTCCATATAAGATGAGTAAAGTTGATAGAGCACACAGTGATATAGTTTTTTGTGTGTGACACGATTGCACCTTGTGGAAGTTTTTGTTCTAGATGTAGTGAATGGTATTTTCTGAGCTTATAGTTTGTTAGATTAGAAACAGTCCCCTTAGAAAGTTATTTATGGTTCCTCTCTCTATTCTGAAAACATGAAAGAAAAAATTCAACAACAGAAAATTATTAGCTGTCTTCTGTTACTGTTTCTTCTCGTAGTTTGTGGGGCCACAATAGACTTCTTGAGTAACGCCCACTTACGAAACACTCCGTCCAGGTAAACAGTATCTTTCCGAACGCGTAGGGAAGCCAGGTGGGGACAGATTTGAGTGAGAACTCCAACAGCGTATGGATCTCGACTTTAAACGACCGAACACTTTCAGGCTCAAGTAATAACTTTTTTATTATCGTAGATTTTCTAACTTTCACTAGACCTGTTGGCCTCTAAGTTGCTTTTCTCTCCTTTCACTTATCAAAGTGAGTGGCAGGAGTGATTCGGTCAAACCTGGCACTCAGCTGAAGCCTTCCCGCGGTTATTGGCAACCCTCTACTCGGTAACAGCTACGGCTGCGGCTAGGATGCGTAAACCGACTCAGAGGTCTAGCTCAGTTGGACGTTCACAAATACTACCAGCTGAAAAAGCCGATCCCCTGTCCGGTAAAACGCTCAGATCGCGTTTGTTCTCGTTTGGCGTAGAGCGTATCTTACTGGCCAACCTAACTCAAACCCTAGCCTGCCCATAGAAGCTATTAGGGGGGCAACAATAGAAAACAAAAAGTGTAGCTCCCGGCTAAACCCTTCGGCTATAGTGAAGACTGTCACGCGCTTGGCCTTACCGTGATCAAACTAAGCAGCTTTCAGGTGTGAAGTTTTTGACGAGTGAGTTCACCATAGATGCGATAAAGTCGTCCCAGATCAGCACTACACCCTCATAGAGTGTCATCAGGAACGCGGTTAAATGGAATAGCAGCGTCACTGATCTGTAGGTTCCAGCGTCCTCCATAACTGACAATAGTGGCATCACCTAGATTGATGGCCGTGGCCTTCGAATGCCCAGAACTCCTAACCAAGGTACTGCAAAGGCTAACACAGCTGAGAACAATATCAGCGGGAAAGGGCCCACTGTTGTGAAAGCGGGTTCAGAACCTTGTGACTAGAACAAACGGCAGGCCCCCTTTCCGCTGAGGTCGCCATAAATATGAGCAGACGCAATGTGGTCCAAAATGACGTTGACTCAATAATAACTCCAGAGACCTTTGTACGAAGAAACCTGACTGCGTCGGTTGTGCTGGAGCTGGCCCAACAGGAGAGCCTTCAACACCAACTTTCTGTTCCTCCCTTGCTCCGGGTGTTATAATATCAATGGAAACTTAGTTATCATTGAACATAAGCCAGGTCGAGGCGAGCATAGACGAGTGTGCCAGCTCAGAGTTGAGAGGGAACGCAAAGAGAAAACCGAAGTGGCAGGGTCGTCGAAGAATCGTCCAGAAAGTGAACTAGCCGCTGACAAAATCCCAACCTTTATCTGGTGCCACTTCATGGTAGGACACAGGAAGCAGCTTTCAAAGGAGCCTATCAAACCACCACTAACGACGTGGAGCAGAATTAACGTTTTACTCTGGATAATGTCCACGGTGGCGACCGTGAGATGCGGCCAGATTAAGATACCGGGGGATCTTGGTGACCCAGCTCTTAATGATGGGCAGGGTAGTACAACTTCAAGCAAGACGTTCCACCGAAACCTGCCTGACGCCATCAAAAAGGATGGGTAATACGAAAAGGTTGGGGACCAAGCGTAAAAGCATTCAGACTGAACCATCTTCTTATCAGCCACCATCTACCGCTGGAAGATGTTTAATTTGAAACCCTTCTTGATGAGAGCGATCATAGTAATAATAATCATGATAATATTTCTCATACAACATTGGTCAAATGAAGACAATCCAGTTTACAGGTATGATTAGTTTGGCAATATAAATTCGCTGCCTTGACCATGATTTAGTAGCACTTCACCTGGTAATCCGTGAACAGCTATCACGGGAGTGATCTCGCCATTGCTACAGTAATGCAAACTAGATGGCGATGAGACAATATCTGTCAAGGGCGCTTGGTACCAGAAGTGGAGCTCCTTATCGAATGACCAATACTGGGGTTAGCAAGTGACATCATTAGCAGAGCTAACCCCAAAAACCCCTTGGCAGTCAAAACAGTGCCGAAAATTCGGGCCCTATGGCCGAAATGAGACCCTTCACGCCTTCCTGAAAGCCATGAGGGAAGTATGCTACAAGTGGGGGACCTCCAGAAAACAATAAGATGGCAGCGCGTGTGGGGCTCTAAGATGTCGATGGAACACTAGAGTGGGGAGAACGGGAGGTCATTTGAGGCAAACCCTATCCAGGAGCCTGATTCATACCACAAGAATTAAAACTAATTCAAGGCGGAGAGAAAGCCTACTAGCCACGGGTGACCTACTAGAAAGGGTCAGGATGAAGAGGACAGCTTTAAAATGGAGACTGATGAAGCTTTTGAAACCACCTCTGGGACATGTGAGCACTCAGCTACCTTACCAAAATTACCAAATGCCTGAGTAATATTCAGCACTACGCGATGTAGAAAAGTTGTATGAAGTACAGGTCCTCCCTGCTATGGTATTCGGAGGACTAGCAGATCTCCTCAGGAAAATCACCATGGTGAGATGAAATTATGCCGTCTGTAGTAAAACAGTATGCGAGTGCCTTAAACTGTCTTTTCTGCACCTTGTTTAAACACTCATCAGAGTAACTCATACACTCACATTTTTTCACCTTACGAGTTTGTGGCCACTAAAACGCGTTGTCTACATAGATTGGCATCGGTCCATCTACCGACACCTTCGAGAAGGGGTTGGACAGCTACGCAGCAAAGCACACCTTACGCTTAACCAACTGGGATACGGACTACTTTTAAATGACCAACGAATTCCACATCGTTTTGTAACACAGCCAACCCCTCACCGAAACTTTCCATTCAGCCTGTTACTTCTCTGATAGATGCCTCACCTCCATACATCATAGCCTCACGAATTACACTACCATTTCTATTTCCACCACTCCTCCTATAGTCCTACCTGCCCCCTCTCCCCCATTTGGCTCTATGACTTCACCTTTTTCATTAAAGTTCCCTTTATCACAGTCTTCGTTCGTAGCCCCCCCGAATCTAAACAGGTTCTTCCCTTCCTTCCTTCCTATTTCTTTTCAGATTGTTTTTTCCTCATTTTCTTTCCCTGTTTTCACTGGACATCTTTTGGGAACCTATTTGGCCTACAGTCCATGGATAAGCCACACAACCCATTCAAGTGAAATCAATTTCAACCTGTTCATCCGATATTCTAGAGCCATTGTATATGAGTCCGTGGATCTACTGCACTTGAATCCACCCAAGGCCTCTAGCAGTTCCACAAGACCTAGAAGCGAGCGCATAGAAATTGACTGAGTTATACAAGTTCACAAAAGATGATGAACGGCCAAAACTTGGGAGCTTTTAAAATGGGTGAATATGGTGCCAAAGAATTTCTCGTATTTACCACCGTCATCACGCGCCTTGTCTTATTTAACTCATGGAAGATTAACGTACTGAATCAAATGAAGACAGGATGCAGTGATATGTATTGTCACTGGGAGACTGCTCACCTTAAGGTGACTGGTATTCAAGGATGCGGTGCATGAATCACAAAATTCCAGAGAGGTTCTCCTGAGACTTTCATAAACTTTGTTTGTGTGCTGAACCTTTGGTAATCACCATCGGGACTCCATTTGTTGCCCTCATTATTGAGCTGCATATGCTATATATATATATATATATATATATATATATATATATATATATATATATATATATATATATATATATGTATATATATATAACTGCCTACCCTTAGCCTTATTTTCTGATGATGTCGATGTGTATTCATTAGGACAGCCTGGACCAGGGCACTTATGGGAAAGCACGAAAAGAAGAATTCTCTTCACTTTCAATACCGAATTCGGAAGGCAAGCTATAGAACAAACTTATTGCAAGAGTGCAAATCCTTTTTCTAAAACAAGGACCAGAAAAGTTTCGAATGCATCAGTCGCTCCATCTATTTCCACTTAGTTTCATTTAGGAAACAATAATCTACCCCTTACATCCAGGTTGTTAACACAATAAGTAGACCAAGATTTTCTTCTGGATCAAAAATTACGATTGTCAATGAACTTCAAGGTGGAATGGTTTTCATGGAATGCAGAAAGTTTCTTTTCAGAAGATTGAGTGAAATATTATTGGGACATGGAACTCGTGAGGTTCAATTCATTATGCTGGGAATAAATCAGTATCTGAACACCAGATGACCCTTGAAATCCTTTAAAGTCGAGGTACATCACTCGAAGCATTTTTCACCCGGCAACATGCAGATAAAAATGAATAATATGAAAATCAGGGCCTATCCAGCTTCTGTTACCTTCACCCTGTCAAGATGTGCGTGAGCTAGTAGTCTGCTGTTCGAAGTGACTATGGATCTCAATATGTAGTCATTTGGTCACTAGGTAAATCACAGAAACATTGGTGAATATAAGGTTCGGAGTAAACATCCACCACCTTACATTTGGCACACCGGTTTACGAAAAATAATCACTGAATAGCAACGTTTTATCCAGCCATATGGAATTGGATTCACTATCTTGTACAAATGACTCTGATATCCACCAATCACAATGTGTAATCTGTTTTCCATCCTGCTTTACGTGGAAGGGATTTCGAAAGAACTACTCCTACTAGTACACAATGGGTATGTTAAAAAAATACATGTAGACCCACCCGGAAATTCGTATTCCTGTATTAGTACAACAAGTAACTTCTTTCCATGAAAAGTATATCGATTC